AGGGAGGGGAGGGGAGGGGAGGGGAGGGGAGGGGAGAGGAGAGGAGAGGAGAGGAGAGGAGAGGAAAAGAGAGAAAAGAAGGGGAGGAGTCAATGAAAAAAAGATGCCCCACCCTGGCCTCCTGAAATGAGCATGCAGACGTGGAGCACATGGTCCCCACTGTCCAGAATACTTCCCAGTACAAAACTAACTTTGAAACTAGAACAGAAAGCACACCTGTAACCCTACCACTCAGGTTGCTGAATTAGGAAGGTCACCTCAAGTTTGAGGATATCTGGGACTATATAGCAAGTTTTTGTCTCTCAAAAAAAAAAAAACAAATTTGTGGTGGTTTGTTAAACTCTGGTTTACACACACACACACACACACACACACACACACACGTCTCCAACATACATTCACACAAAAAAAGTAAAATCTAGACATGAAAAGCTAGCTCTTGGAGTTCTTTCCAGGAAACAAAGTCAGATTTAAACATGGCAGGACAGGCCTGGGGAGAGTGGGTAGGTATGCCAATGTTTCAAGAGTCACAGCTTATGAACAGAAGGGCGGTTAAGGGGCTCACCCACCTGCTTGTGCAGGACTTTCAGGAGTCCCTGGGTCAGGCCTGTGTCAGTCTTCTGTGTGGCCACAGGCATTTCAATTCTGTCCTTTACAGGAAGTGGGTCTCCTCTGGACAGGGCTGAAAAATACCTGGAACGAAAGTCATCACTGAAGGGCATCAACGCACAGGCAATACCCAAGGCATGAGGTGCCCGACACCCCAGTGGATGTGGTGGGAGCTCCCAAGGCCAGCTGACCACACTGGAGTCCCGGGACCTTGGCTGAGCAACCCCCTTGAACATCACTGTGCACTCTGGCTTCTCTGTCTGCAAAGCAGACACGCTGATTGCATCTGAGGGTCCTGGACGCACCAAGTGACAGAGAGCTTGTGTGGGAGCCAGGGGAGCCTCACTGAACTGTGCTCCTCCCCCTTGTTGGACTCAGGCTCTCTTCCTCCAAGAGCTCTGCAAATGTGGATAATGAAAGCAGCGTCTGATGCTGTTTCATGTTTTTAAAAATTATTTTTTAAATGTGTGTATCTATGCGCTCGCGTACACACACAAACTTGTGTGGGTAGGTGCACGTGAGTGCAGACGTCCTTGCCTTGGAGCTGGAGCCACGGTTGGCTTTGAGTTGTTGTGACATGGGTGCTAGGAGCTTAATTCAGGTGCATTGGGAAAGCAAGCAAACACTGCTAATGGCGACATCTCTCCAGCACCCCACAGCCCAGGCTACTCCTTTTTCAACAGCTGCTTTCTGAGGTAATCGGCATTAGACACCTCTACACATTCACTTGGAGGTGGTGGAGACATCCTAAGGCCATCATCACTTCCCACTACCCATCTTTCCCCACCCCGCCTGGTACACTCTCCTCAATCATTCCCTTCTAGGACACTGAAAATGCTTAGGCTGGAGGCCAGCGGGGCACAGAAATGGCTCAGGGCAACATCTCGAGTGGATCTGAGTGGATTCCTATCAGGTTAAGCCAGCGGGAGGCCTTGCACCAGGCGGGTCTTGAGCCACAGTCCTTAACCAAAGAACCTGTAACTAGGAGGATGAACATGAAATTAAGCATCAGAGCAACGGGTATGTTTGCGAGTCACTGGAAACCATCTACATCTGTAACATAGGTGGATGTGGATAGCGGAGAATGAGGAGATCAAAGGCAACCCCCTGTCTCTTCACCCCTTAGGGTCAACTCCGCCTATAACTACTGACTTGTGCTCCTCTCTGTGGTTTTAACGGTCTAAGGAGTGGTGCCGACAGCCGTGAGAGAAACAGATGCAGAACTGTGGACCTAAAGGTCCAGGCCCCGATGCACTACTGTGTCTTGGCAGATTCACACCTATTCACAGTTGTTCCTCATCACCAATCTAATGAATCACGGAGGTCTCGATTAAGACCTCAAAAAACTAAAAACTATCTCTGCAGTATTATCAAATGTGGCCAATGGAGGCAGAGTCGTGGAGAGCAAATGAACTTTCAAGAAGGCTAGCCCTTCTCTAAGGTTTGAACGTAATATCGTAGAGGGGACACTGAGAGAACAAAGGGTAGTTCTGGGCTCCCAGGTGATCCTGGCAGGGCTAAATAAGACATCCAGGTCCTATCCCCTGGACATGGCATGTGTCCTTGCACAAGTAAGGACTTTAAATAACTAAAGCAGACTGTATGGCTCCTAAATGTGTCATAAGAACCCTCAGGAGAGGAAGGCAGGAGAGAACCCATGGATTGAAGAAGGGCCATGCAGTTCCAACAACTGAATCTGATATGGAAGCGGCCACCTGTCACCTGCTTCAGATGATTTGGGGCTGTTACCTCCAGAGCTGTCTTTTTAAAGTAAGTCGAGTTGTTAAAACAGCCAAAAGAAACCACCCTAGCTACATAGTTCAGAGAAAGTTAGCAAAATTTGGCTAAAAATATTCTCGTGATTAAAAAGCGGCAGAGTTCTCCTGTAAAACCGAAATAACGAGTGGTAAGACTATAATGGTCAGGCCCTTGAAAGGGTTCGTGTTCTTGTCTCTAGCGTGTGAACGTTCGCTAGCCGTGAGCTGTGCTGGCCAATTTTTTTTTTCCGGGCGTCAGCCTTCGCATACCTCAGCCTCGATGGGGAGTTGGAGGGAGTCCGTTGTTCTGGACGGTTTCATTTATAATATCCCTGTAACTAATTTTTTAAAAAAAACTCAGCGGAGCCACTTTTTGCCCCGCGGTTGGTGTGCGAGCTTTGTTAGTCTACTGTACTCGGTAACGGGGTGAGGTTCCCAGGCCGGCCTTACCCCGCCGACCACTGCAGCACGTCCGCCGGCTGCGTACGGATGGCAGCCTTGGTGAACTGCTTGAGGATGTCCGGCAGCTCCGGGGGGATGTGGATCTGCTGCGCGCAGAACATGGTGTCGGGCAGCGGCATCGCTCTGGGCAGACTGCGGCGGCCAGGGGCGAGAGGCAGGGTCAGCGCAGCGGGCGGCGGGGAGGGACTCGGCGGGCTCCGCTTCTAACCGACTGCTCCGCCCCCTCCAGGAAACTGAGGCCCAACCGCCTACAGCGCGTCGAGCGCGCGATTGTGGCGTGCGGTTTCCAGGCAACCCGAGCTGCGCAGGCGCACGGCCTCAGGGAGCAAGGGGCGGTCGTCCGTCCCTGGCCGCTGTGAACAGAGAGCGCCGCAAAACTGCTTGTTTTCCTAAAACGCGGAAGTTGAGCTAATCCGGACCCCAGGAGGTCGCTAACTGTCTTATGATGAGACCAGGGTCTAGGCTTGGCGTCCCCATCTGTGACTCCATTTGGTCCACAGACCCAATGAATACACATTTCCAAACCAAAGCAGCTTTGGCAACAACAGTCATAACAAAAATAAATAAATATAAAATAAAACAAAACATTTTAGTTGATAGAACGGGCAAACAAGGACTTTCAGACACTGCTGACAGAAATATGCGTATACTGGGAACTACAGAATTTTCTGGCGACTTAATATAATTTATCCTGGGGGGGCAGAATTAGGTATAAGGAGTAAATAATAACGTCTATTGTGTAGCTTGGTAGGTTAACTTTTATTAAAACCCCTATCATGGTCTCCATTCAGAGAAAAACAACACAATCAGGTAAAACCCACATAGTTAAAAGCTGATGTGGGGACTGAGACTCAGGTTGGGGTTCACTTGAGCTGGGAATTGGAGACCAGCCTGGGCAACATTTCAAGAAGCAACAGGTCTGTCCCCACCCACACCAACACTAAAACCACCACAAAAATTAGGCAGATGATAGGTGAAGCTGAAAAGATTGTAAGACAATGTAGGTATGCAGGTGTCTGTTATTTTTATTCTTAAAAGTCTCTTAGGTATAAATTGTGACAATTTAACTTTTGTTTTCTTAAATGAATTGTATTTTGCTGTTGTATCTAAAAAGATGTGTGCTTAGCCCACATTGAACTAATTTTTTTTTCCCCTACAGAAGTTACCACTTGGGGGTTTTAGAGTTAGTTTGTTTGTATGGATCTGTAGTATGAATGTTTGCTTTTCATTCTGTTACCAGTCCAAATACTTCACATTTTTTTCAGCATCCACGCGCATGGCAAGGAAACGGCCTTCTAAGCAAAGAACAACAGGTATGGTTCCTGAGCAAGGAGCTCCTTTCTCCTCCAAGGATGTCCTAAAGAAGAAATGAACCAGCAGAAACTCTTAGGCACTGTTATAGAAGCAAAGAAGATTAAAAACATAACAAAAAAAACCCCAATGGCTAACAACATAAACTGATGCAGAGGGGCCTGTGCCTTTTGACTTTAAAGGTGTGCAGAGTAGCAGCAGGAGACTGATGGAGGATTAGAGGTGTGCTTGTGTGCAGACCTACAGATAGATCCCACTGAAGCAGCAGCCAGGTCCCAGCGGTCTCCCCCAGTCCTGTGTGCTGGCTCAGGCTGACTTCTCTCTCTTCCGTCTTTTGGTTACTACCTGTTCTCCACCTTGTCCTTGGAGGCAGACATCTTCAGTCACTTGACCATCAACTCTCCTAATCACCGTTTCCAGTGAGGAGATTAGGAGCTAACCATTTCTGAGTACTGATTTCCTTTGGTGCAGACTTTCAACTCAACAGATTGAAGATGCCTGTGGTTCAGAGAGCATTTTCCACCACTCCTCCATTAAACGACAATGGATTTAATTGGGTTGAGATGAGAAAAATGTTGAAAGCTTTTGAAAAACTTGAACTTAGAAACACAGAACCTAGAAATGGCCCCTAAAACCAAAAGATCTCATGATCATAAAGGAGAAAAGGTCATGCAGCTCTTTTCCTTCTCAGACATGTAGGCAGCGATATACAATGGTTTCTGATGTGTCTTTTATCAGGCTCTATCCCAAAGCGATGGCTCACGGCATGGAGAAATAGGAAGTGAGTGGGCAGTGTCACCCCGTGGCCCAAGCAGACAGGCTTCATGCCTTCCAGTAGAAATGTTCTCAAGTACGAGCAGGGGCAGATGTGTCTTCGGCGGCTACACTTCCTACCCTCTGTCAAAGTACATGACAGGACCACGAAGCTTCAGATAACTGTTTTTCTTTCAATTACAAACACCTAGATATTCTTTTCTGTCACCCAGGCTAGCCATGAATTTCTGGACTCTAGCAATCCTCCTGCCTGTTTCCCAGCTAGCTGGGCTACACACATGTACCACAGTACCAGCCTCATACTTTCGGAAATTAAAAGCAATCTTACATCAAAGTAGAAACACACAACCAAAAAGAAAACGAGGCTACAACTAACATTCACTTTATTCAATTCTGTTCTCTTAACTCAGAAGGCAACAAATGACCGCATAAAAAAGGGAGCATTTTTGAATATATACACATAAAATTAATCTGGGTACAGGTGTTTAGTGTATAGAAAACGGACACCCCACATCACTAAGTGTTCTAGTTCACTCCTACAACAGACACCCCTAGGCCTTAGTCCTTCGTTTCCATCTAAGGTTCTATAGGACTGTCATGATTACAAAATGAGGCACTCATACAGACAGACAGGAATGGAAACATACATATACATGTATACTGTCTTATTTTTATATTAATGCCAAAGCTATTATTATTGGAGAGTATCTGAAGAAGCCCTTACTCATGACAGCTGTTTAAATGTTTGACACAACAGCAGTAAGCTGAAACAAAACATCTGATTGACAGGGCAAATTAAGTGTGTGGCTATAGGGCAGGTTAAGCAAAGAATTTAAAGACCCTTCACAGACGAGGTCTTCAGTAACACTTCAGTGGTACTATGTATCCATCTCTCCCTTTGATAATGACTGAACAGTTACGACCCTAGAGAAGAACTTTGAACATCACAATGTAAAATGAGGCACCACTGTAACTAGCCTGGTATTCTCCATTCCGGAGACGACAGAAAGGAGCTAATTTGGAGCACTGTGACACGTGCCGAGTTCCTGAATGATGGCACCGGCTCCTGTGTGGTAAAATGTCCAATGCGTATTTTGTGTTTGTCTTAAAAATATATCGGGTAACCTATATTTAGGGATATACTTTAATGGAGCATTTGTGTGACACGGAAGCTATGCGCCTGATAAACTCATCAGAGGATAGTCACTCTGTCCCTTGAGGGGAGAGACCGTCTGAGAATTCACAGTAATAACAGCCATACTGAATGTTGAAACAAAAATTACTGTTCAATACATGTCCTATCTCTCCCCGCCCCCACCCCTCAGAGAATGAGAGTGGGGCCTGGGAACACAACTATAAACATGGAACTTTAAGGCTAGCTACACACAAATTTTACATTGGCATTTTCTTCAGTTTTCATCTAAACTATTAGTCCTTTGTAGTTTAAAAATCAAACCATAATTTGTTAATAATGAACAACTATACATTTCTAAGTGACCATTTGATAACTGGTCATGTAAAACTAATCCCAAGTGGTGATTTGTCTTCAAATAATCAATAATAAAGCACAGAGGTCTTTTCTAGAAAACTTCTTTTAGCCAAATTCAAAATGATGCACAACTCTTCATCTAAACTTCCTGTAAAGACAGGCGGCAAATAGGAACACCTGCTGAACTGAGGGATTTCAATGTTTATGATATTGTTGAATAAAACCTGTATGTCACCCTAGCAAATGTTATGCACAATAAATCCTCATGACGATATTATCTTACTGAAAGCCACTGGATAAAGCACAACTGTAAACCCAGGAGGAATTCCTCAGTAAGAGAGCAGAGTTCCCTGCCAGTAAAATGGAGGCAAACTTTGGTAATCTATACTGTTTGTGTTTGTTTTCAGCAAAACATCTAATACGGTTTACTTAAAATTCCAGATAGTTAAGAATGTTTAATGTTTTGCGGTAGACTCATAAATTCTTTAAAAATTAAAAATGAAACCTGAATGTTGTATGCCCAATACACCAGCATCTTTTTCCTCAAAAGATTAGATTTTATAGACATAGTCCCATTGACAGGTGGCGTTGCATTTTTAAATGCTAATTCTTTATGGAAGGACAATGTCTGAGAGTGAAGGTAGGTTCACTGGAAGAACCTTTACACACCAGAGAAAGGCTGTTTACAAAATGACAGTGTTAACACTGGATCCACAGCAAGCACTGTTTTTGTTTTTTAAATATAATGCTGATTTAAAACAAAGTATTTGCTTATCACTTAGTGAATTTAAGAACGACAAAAAGACAAAATCAAAAAACGAACAAAACCAGAAAGCATTGCTCTTACTCTTTTGTTTGGCTTTGTATTTGGAGGTGGGGGGCGGGCCCTCAGACCTTTCCAACTACGGGTTTAATACTCCATGGAACTCTGTCCAGTCTATGAAAGCTTCTAGCACTATCCTTACATACCCCTTTACCATTAAACACTTGGATGATGTACAACCATCCTTATCTTTCACATTTCAACTGTGAAGCTTGGCCGAGGGGAACCAGGCTTCCTCGGAGTACTCCACTCTCTGCAATGCTGCATTTCTCAGTGCAGCTCTTTCCTATGGTGAAGGCCAACTCGGTCTGCTTCCTTTCCCACAAATAAAACTTGGTTTTATTTGCAGTGTATTGTAAACAACATGCTTTAGGAACAGGGATCTCTGGGTGTATTAACTGAGCTTCAGCTGCAGTGGGCTGCCAGCTCGCAGGGGATTCTACTCATCTTCCCTGACGCAGTCAGCCTCACACCACAGCCCAGGGCCTCAACCTGTCATTACTGGTACTGTTGGTGATGTTGTCCCCTTAGATTTCTCATCTGGCATGACACTTTTGGCCACTGCTGACAAAAAGAAAGAGCTATATGGATGGGGAGGAGGCTAATAAAAATCTTCATTTGTAGTTAATCTTTCTAAGTATAGACATGCCCCTAACAAGCACAAAAACCCCAACTCCCAATGCCGATCACTAGGAATATTAAATTATCAAAATTAAAAATAATTTCCTCATCTAGCACAACATACTATACAATATTACAAACACAGACACATGAAAACAATCAGGCAGTAGAAAATGTACAACAGCTTTGGTGTTACACGGAATCATTTGCAAACACGACAGTCTGTGAGGCACTCTGTCCACGCCCCTTACCACAGG